GGCCCCACCCGGCAACGGCCTGGCCCGGCCCCGTCGCGTCCCTGTGCCGCCGTGGGCAGCCGTGAGGCGGTGACCCCGTGCGACTTTCAGCAGCCCATCGCTTAGCTTTGGCTTCTCACAAGCCTGTCCGCTCCCGAGCTCAAGATCCCCGTTACCAGCCAGGAAAGCCGACCGCCCTGTGCGGCTGTTCTTGGCAGCTTTATGCGCCTCCTGCTTCCCCTTTACAATTATCAAAACTCTCTCTTGTCTCTGAACTTGGGATGGTGCTGAACTGATACTGGCCTCAATAAAAGACTTTTTGTTTGGCCTGTTACACACAAAAAGGTAGTTCAGTTGTAACAAAAATAAGCATAGTATTTTATCTGTAAGTTTCTTTGGACATGGTGCTGCAGTGGTTTCCTGGGGCCTTTTTGGTGTTAATTTTCTGTGAAAGTGTGAAAACATGAAACACAACAAGGAATTTCCAGAGGACGTGAGGCTTGTATAGTAAGAAGCAGGAAAATGGTGTAGCAGAGACATCCCAAGTAAGAAGTGGTCAGTAAAAAGCACTAAGCATGTGTACATTGAGCAGCTGGGCTGAACTGTTGTTCCACTACTCATAGGCCACCAAAATCCAGTGCTTTCACAACTGCACAGGACTGAGCTGCAAACATAAGCTGGCATCGTATATGTTCCCACAGTGGCCTGTGAACTTATGTGAGAATATGTATCTGTTGTTACAATTTATTTTTAGACTGCTTGTGTGGTTAGTATGATTTGTGTTTGGTATGTGCTTATTAAAGCTGTCTTTTGGAAACAGTTCTGATTTCTTTCAACATTTTTCTTTTTAGAATATTGAATACATGTTTGGCATTGTTGGTATTCCAGTCACCGAAATCGCAATTGCAGCCCAAGCAGTTGGAATAAAATATGTAGGAATGAGAAATGAACAAGCTGTAAGTATATAACTGTAGTAGGGCCAATCCTTTAACTATTTTACGATGGAATGAAATCCAGTTTGCATTTTCTTACGTCAAGAATGTGGTCTCTGAATGTTTCTTTAAAAGAAGCTGTGGAGAAGCAGTTACTGTCATTCTGGAATGCGTTGGTGGGTTCTTTGCCCTTCTTGTGATAATCTTTTTTTTTCCTTAACTGAGTTTTAAAAGGTCACCAAACAGCAAGCCATAGAGAGTTGTAATGTTCCTGGATGCTCAGAATCAAGCATGATCATATCCTTAGACTCTCTTCATTATATATGTATATCAGCTTCGTTGTCTAGGTATCCAAAATTTGACTGAAGCTCATTAGCATATTGATGTTTTACCAGTACTTCTGGATTAGTTTGGTTTTCCCTGATAGTAGCACTTTAAGCACTCAGTAATTTCTTAGGTGGTCTGAGGGTGACTGTAAGAACCCCAGATTTATACCTCACGTTCAAGGATTGCTACACAAGCTGGTTAGCTAGCTGCTAGCTCTTGGACTGCTAGCAAATGGACCATAAGCTTTCCATGCTCTGATGCCCACAGATAAATAAATTGTTTGATTATTTTCTTATGAGGAGATTTTTCTTGTGTTTTAACTTGTTTATGGGTTCTGTCTCTCTGTGAACATCACTAATAAGAATTTTACTATTTTTACAAGGAACTCCTTGTAGTATTCTGGACTTGCACAGTATTCAGATGCCTATATTTTGCAGCAGTGTTTTCTTTTTGTTTTTTCACCACATAGTTCATAGCCTTTGTGGATTGTCCCAGGCACAACAAAATATTATAATAGTAGTTCTTCTAACTCAGGTGGTCAAAAGCGGTATGTTTTTTGCTGTCTAATCCTTACATCCGTATATTGAAATACGAGAATTTATAAAGCAGTGCTTGTCTTTACGTGGAAAAATCTGTAACACATGAGAGAGGCAAACATATACAAACACATTTAAAATGTATATTTCATTCCTTTGAAGGACTGGGAATTCAACAGAGCCTTTTTATTCCTGTAGGCCATTTAGCAAGAATCTGAGTTTTAGCTTTGGTTATTAACATGATTAAAACTAATTTCCTCATATGTCTGTGATTAACAGAGAAGACTGCTTTGCACTGCCAAATGACATGCTGTCCTACTTACCACTCTTTACTAGACTCTCTTCTGCTAGAGTGCAAAAGACAAAAAACATTCTACTGTGTAAATGGTGAGATACTTTGCTTAGGGGAATACCAGTAATGTGAAGACTTGTTTTAATGTCAGAATGTCAGGAGGTCTCTTTTGTGGACTGGAAAAGGATGAACAAAGATGTATCTTGGAGTGGGTTTGGTTTTGTTCTTTGTCCTCAGTGAAGACAGAGTAATTGCTTGGCAGAGTAGAGGATAAAAGGTTATATACAGTATATTCAAAATACACTTAATATTTGCATGTCATAATTTTAATTGTCTAAGATTATTAATTGTGTGGTCTGTCTGTGGCGGATGTGTATACAGGTGCTTCCTTTATCTGTGAAGGCAGCTGTATATGATCTGAGGGGTCGAGTTACTGCCTCATTTCTGGGCCAGATGTAGCAGAAATTCATAAAACTGCACAATAAACTGATTAGACCAGGTTAAAGCATGAAGTTGAAAGCTAAGTAGTACTACCAATATCCATTAGCTTGTCTCCTGTGTCTGTAATACGTTATAAGTTTGCTAGAAGCAGTTTAACCCATGTCCTCTGTGCCCCTTGAACACTGAAAAGTTATATTGCAATTTGATGGGGTGTGTGTTGTGTATCTGTCCCTGGGTATTCAGAGGTTGCTGTGATTGTTTAGAAGACTGATAACCCAGGTCAGTTTTAAACATCGGGAAAAACCGTTACTGTTATGATTGTTATTCATTAACAACACACTTTGCTAATGTTTAGTTCTTAATCTTTCATAATAATTATCACTACATATTCAAAGCAATCTCTTGATAATTGTATCCTAAGTTAGTCATGAGTATACAGTATGCAGGAGCTGGTACGGTGTGATTAGTGCTGATGGTGCTAGCTGTCAAGGGAGTCAGGCTTGAGGACCCTTCAGTAAGGGCAGCTGAAGACAAAGTGGGCATTTTTTTTCTCCACTCCTTAGATTCAAGATCTCTACTTATAAGATGTTTTGATCTCTGAACAGATCTTACCCCTTGTCCTCTGTGCCTGGACTATGGACTGTGTCATGCTGGATGGTGCTTTCCCAGGCCAAGACAGATGTCTTATCCTGCTGCACATCTGTTGGGGTTTTTATCTTTTGGTTAGCCATTGCCATTTTACCTAAAGCAAAACCAGTGTCTTCCCAGGTTTCAAAGCTGCAATTTTTCAGTGACCGGTAATTGGCCTTTTAAATTCTTAAAAGCAAAGAATTTATTATTCTAAAGCAAATTCTTTATTATTCTGAGATCGCTGCTTTCAGTCTGTGACCTGATTTTTCCAGACCTGCACTGAAGTTGTATGTGGTAACAGAAGACACCATGTGTTGAGCTCAGGTTCTTGCAGCAGATTCTTGTAGTAAGTTGATCCCAAGCCCTATAGGCCAGTCCTGGCGCACTGAGCATTATGTACAATTAACGTAAGGGCTTCAGAACTGCTCCTGTGCATGGTTGCACTGTTTCAACTGGGCCACTGGGTACAAAAATGCTTAAGTGTTGTTTACTTGCTATGTTGTGTTAGTTTGTTTATGTTTGAGTTGAAATCAGACTAATTAAACCCTTCTTAGTGTGCTTATATGGGAGGAAGAGGCCTCTGCTTTGGCTACAGTCCAAATCCAGCACTCGTGGATGGTTGCAGACTTTGAGCTTAGTGCCTGTGTCTAGGCTTCCTACATTTCTTCCTAATGTGGATTGTGGTTTTGGTAGGAAATCTCATGTTATATACCTACACGCTTCTTGCCTGTCTGAGGAACATCAGGATCTGGTTTAAGCTGATAAACTGTGTTGTGACCTTAACAGATAGAGTGCCATCACTCACATTTTAGTGGTGAGGGTGCAAGGTCCATCATTAAAGTGGTTTTTTTGACCATACTGTTCACACATGCACAAAAAAAGTCTTTTAAGCATGCCTTAAATTATTTACAGTCTCCTCTCCTCTAAATACAGATAGCTCTAGTCATGTTGCTTCCTTGCAGAGTGAAGCAGTAAAATGGCAATGACTGTACATGAACCCAAATTCTATGTACTGCTTTATTTTGCCACTTAGTTCTAAAACATGATTGCCATGGAGACAAAACACCATGCTTTGAGCTCCATTAACAAGATTTTTTAGTAACACCTACTCCAAATATTTCTGAATTTTTGCACACAGATATATCATCAAATTGTTATCTAATTCTTGAACATTACTGGCATTTTTCCTCTTGATGTCAGGCATGTGAAAAGTAGAAAGAGATTTTTATTGCCAATGTACTTTTTTTGTCAACAGTTCCTTATCTTAATGCTGCAAAGAAAATGAGGGTTTCTTCTCATTCCTCTCCATGCTTATGTGCACACAGCTGGTCTGTATCTGTGAGAGCATGAAGATCTTAAAGACAGTTTCTCCTTCCATGCAAAAGCTTGTAAGACATCTGTGTTTTCACTCATTTAAGATGGGGTTTCTAGCATGCTGTGTTACCTAGAATTATTCTTAGGTTTGAGGAAAATATTTAGTAGCTTTGTAAACTTTTAGGAGGAGTTTGTTACTTCTTCTTACTGCAAAAGTGCTCAAAACGAAAACACAAAATCTCAACTCTATTTAAAAATGAAAGGAGCAGGCTACAAGGCCAGAAGCTTATTAAAAAAAAAAAAAAAGGAAATGAGAGAGAAAAATAAATTACAAAATGAGTTTTTTGATTAAGTGTTAGAACTTGCTGAATTCAAGATAAAAGCATGAGAATATGAAGGAGTTGGCAGCATCACAGGTGTGAATCCTTTGGCATTTGTGAGTCACCTGTAAGCTTCTTTGCTACTTGATCACATATTGTCTTGTTACCAGGTGAAATTTATATCTGAGTGTTTAATACTAGATAAATACACTACAGGAATGGCGTAAAAACAGACGCTGTAATAATACTGGTGATAAGCTATGATAACATGAGTTGTTGGCATAACTTTTGTGAAAATTACTCAAAACACAGTATTTCTTTCAAATGTCAAAGTAGCTAAAGCTGAGCGTGGTACTAGAAATGGGTGAGAAGTACTTCAGGAGCTCAGCTTGTAAAAGATAATCCTGAATTTTCTAATTAGTTTCTCCAGTGTGTGATTTCAACCTTTTTGTTAATTTCTGAACTGCAGTGAGTCATTCCAGTGATGGCTGGATTTCTGTTTGTTGCTTCTCTCTTGCAAGTCCCTCTTCTGTGTTAGTCCAGAAAGCAGAAGTTTCTTACATTGTTGTATTCATTTGCTTCCCTGGTTTTAGGGGTTTTCTTTTATATGTGGTTTTGGGGTTTTTTTTTGAATCCCAAATATTCCTGATGTAACGTCCTGGAAAAAAAGGAGTGTGCAATGTAGAGAGAAGTCTTGGCATTTTACACATAAACCTTCATGAACATACGTTATAATGAGGAAGGGTGAAGGGGTGCTTTTAGTTGTATTTAAGCTCTGATGATCTCTGTATCTGCTTATTTTCAGTATTTGTTGAAAGTTATATACAAGATATCATGAAATGTATAAATAATAGTAATTGTGTAATTAATGTTTTCAATAGGCCTGTTATGCTGCATCTGCTGTTGGATATTTGACTGGCAGGTATGTTCTTAATAATATATTTTATAGTATTAACTGTGTTAGACTCAACAGAAGCCAGGAGCGTTTTTGTGTTTTGGAGCTGGGTGTTTTCAGTGTGTGCAGATGTAGGGCAGTTAAAATGGAACATGAATTTTAGAGTAACTGTCAATAACACTGATCAATATTTCTGTTGCTATGATTCAGGGCAGAAGCAAGGTGGTGCTTAAGATCCTATAATATTGTCCACTTTATGACTTCCTCCCGCCCTCCCTCCTTTAATATCTGAAGAGTAGCTTAACAGCATTGCTATGAGGGGCAGAAATCATGCCACAGTTGCTTGTTGCAACTTGGTGGACCTGCTATACCTCAATCTCATCATCTGGGTTTGTTGTTCAGCAAATACCTTATCAATACAGAGACTGATCATAGACCTTCCAGTCTCCCAGGCAGAGTACTGGCTTTTCCTCTTTTACCGCATTTTGTTCTTAAGGTCTTTGTGAAGCATTCTTTGACCTGTGAGGTGTGCTTCTTGGGTATCTCTTGGATCCTTTTTCTAAAGTAAATATCTGGTGTCTGTGTGCTTACAAATGCAGACCTGATGACCATTCCTTATTCTATGTGCAAGCATGACACCTGTTATATGCAGTTTTGTAGTCTTTCATCCTTTGAATAATCCTCTTGTATTAAGCTGAGGGGTTTTGGGTATGGATTTTTTTCTGATATGTAAAGAGTCTGTAAAGCTACTGAGAAAAAAAAATCATTCTTAACTACTGAGCATTTCTCATCACCTTATGGAATATGAAGTGCCTCTGCCTGAAATTAAACTGTAATAAAATTTGTGTTGAATTGGAAGCATTTCTTCCTTCGTGAGCTTTCTTCATTGACATCTAGTGCTGAAGTGGAGTTGAAAAAACTGCAAACATAAGCGTTCCACAAATTCCATGTAAACGTGATAAAAGAAGTAAGGAGCTGTGTTACAAGCCTGCATATGTTGCAGACCTCTGCGTGGTAGTGTGTAACAACTGTTTGCTTGCTCTTTCAATTGGGTTGGTACAGCTAAATGATTTCTGATTCCCATGTCTTTAGTCCTTCATCCAAATCCCTTGCATTCATGCATGTTGATGACATGATTAATATTTTATGTTTCAGCTTCTTTTTTTTTTTTTCCTCTTTCTCTAGACCAGGAGTATGTCTTGTAGTGTCTGGTCCAGGCTTTTTACATGCCCTTGGTGGGATGGCAAACGCGACCGTGAACTGCTGGTAATTTAACTATGTTTTCCCTTTAAAAGTCTAATAACTGTTTGCTGTTATTTGCTGCAGATATTGAGCTCCACTGTATTTAGGATAGGACTTGTATTTCTTTCATGTGGGTCACAAGAAGGGAATTCTTCATTTACCAACCCTGAAAGTCATTTAGTTCCATGTTTTATATTCTCATGGATAAATTCGTTTTGTCCTACCCCACTATGCCTATATTGGGAAATCTATCAGTATCTGATTGTATGGCTGCATTTGAAAGTGAAGTTGATATTCAGCCTCTAATGCTTTATTGATCATGAAGACTTCTATAATTTTTTTCCTAAATTTAAATACACATCACTGTTGAATTACTCTTCCATATGTGAAGAAATTGACAAGGGCATTGTTAAAACCCTTATTTGCTCTCCACAACGACATTTAGAGCAGTCATTAAATATTGAATTAAATGATGTACAGAGTGATAGCATTTATTCCCATAGGCCTTCACTGAGGCATAGCAATTTTAGCTGGTCTGCCACTCAAAACTGCTCAGAAAGCTGTATGAGGTATTTTGGGTAGAAGCTCTGGTAATACCAAGCACATGTAATGGGGGGCAGTGGCTGATTGGCAAGAGAAGCTTCATAATGGAATGGTAACAAATCAAGTCTCTGACACTGAAAAAAAGACCTCTAGTGTTCAAATGCTTTTTAGAAAAAAAAAAAAAAAAGTTATTGACTGAAGTTTTGTTGTCCCTATGTGACCTTAGATAAAAAAGGTCATACAAAAGCCTTGCTTTTGCACAGGCATGGATTTGTTTATAAGACAGAAGCATTCATGGCACTTGCTTATGGATTTGCAGGATTTGTTTCTGTTTTCTCACACTTATTTTTGTCTGAGAACAGGTAAACAGGTGTTGTTTGTCAGGTAAACAGACCTGTGACTTGATATTGCATAAACTCCTGGCAAAAGAGAGTGATTTATCTAGTTCAGCAGAAGGTTTCACAATATACCAAGAAACTGGTTTTCGCTGACCAAACCGCTGTATTTGCCCAGTGATTTTTTTCATTGGTCACATCAGGCTTGTGTTTTGCCTGCCATGTGCCAAAAGGAGAGGAGTAAGCTTTCACAGACCCTGAACTTCGCCTAATAAAACTTTTTTCTTGTCTCCTTCATTAGTAGGCACCTCCATTGAGTGTCTGCAAATCCCAAACATGCTTTTTCACATTTACTTTTTGGCTGGCATTACTACTGTAAGAAAGGGTGCTATGCATTGAAGAGGAAAACTGGGGATTTTTCTGTTAACTAATGAGCTTTCTAGCTTGTTTCACTGCTTGTTTCACAGCAGCTTGGGCAGATATTATGGAGAAGGAGGGTTGCAAGGGAAGAGTAAAAGTAGCCCAAGCAAAGGGAAAGGAGGTGAAAATACAATACATGCTGAGGGGTTTGGTTACAACAATCTAACACATTCTGCATAAAAAGGGGCATAGGCCCATATCATCACCACATCTGCTGCTTGCCCTCTTTGACAGCTCTGGCACTTGTCTGTCCCAACAATCACATTCAGTTCATTAGGTATTAGATCTTCCTCTTTCTCTGGCAACAAGGTTTTAAGTCTCTTGCTCCATAAGGCTTGCTATTCTTATCAGTTTCATTATAGTCAATGTTCTTCCTGCCTCACTATTAATTTTACAAACACTGCTTTTTAAAGTGTCTACAGTATTGTGACAGTAGTACAATGATTTCATTGGGGGAAAAACTTCTTTCTGGTTACAACTGTGTAAACATGAAAAGCAGAACCAAATCTTTTCAAGATACAGCTATTGGAGTTGGCTTTCTTAAGAGTAGAGCGTTTTCTTAATTGTATTTCAGTATTGGGAAGCAGCAGTTGTTTTGTTTCTTAAAACATTTAAATAAACTTGAAAAATATAAGTGAAAGGAACATAGGGTTTGTCACTGAACAGACTGGTTATATATGGATAATGACAGTCATTTTGCTCAGAGGGGAGAATTGGCAGGATAAAATTCCTAGAGCATACATCAAATGCATTTTTCCATAACGATTTTTCACAAGGATAAGCTACAGCCTGAAGTTCTCATTTCACCATGTCAAGGGATTAGAACTGAGATTTTTGATTTGTGACAGAGAAATGGCCTAGTTATGAAGCTTGGCTCTAGATACAGATATCCCCAAATCTTATGACTAAATTTAGGATTATGCATTGAGCTCACTGTAAACGTTTCAGCTTAATACATTGCATAGATAAATGCAGTCAAAGGAAAGGCTGTATCTAAAGAGAAATTGGTTAGGAAAAAAGCTTAGAAAGCTACTGACCCAATATTTTAATTTAGTGTGGAGGAATGAGCAAATTAATAAGAGAGCTTTCTTTTATTGACTCATCATTTAGCACTTTGAGGAGTTTGACCTACAAACTGAATAAAAGAC